CATAATGCAATTTGGTCAGAAGAGTGTATTTTGGAGTATTAAAGCTCGTTAAATACTTTCAATACTAGAATTCGATACTGTGAAGTCTTATAAATGTAGATAAAAATATATGATGTCCCTAAGATATTAGTTACTGATACTCGCCCAATAATGTTTATTGTGAAACTGATCATGATAATCATATGAATTTCTTCTAAAATGAAATAGTGAGATTTTTAATAAAGTATTGGCTGGTGGTAATTTCAAAATTAATACAAATTGGTCAGAGAGTTACAATGCCAGTTTTAGCATAAACACTAAACCAAACACAAACAAATTAATCAACTTGAGTCACTGTTAATTTAAAATTAGTTCACTAGATCACTCCATTCGTACATAAAGATGCTTTACCTTTTCTCCAAACGGCTTTGGGTATTTTAATAAGATATACCATCAGCCAAGTATAAGCAATATCTTTTTTGTTTTTACTTTATTAACGTATCTCACACAATTTCCCTAAATGTAATATCATAAAATTGAAAAATATATTGGAAAAAATACAGTAATCACATGTTTAAAGATTTGTTTGTCATATGCACTCGATATTAATATATATTAAATATGCTAAGATACTACACATTTATCTTTCTTTGCTCGATCATTCTTAGAAGCTATGGATCTCGTAGAGTCACGCTGATCAGAGTTTATTAATGGAGGAGACTTTGTGAGATGAGAATGTCCATCAATAGTATTTCCTAATGTATTTGTTGTTTTACTTATTTCACTATTACTCTTTGTCGTTTCAGTTGAATGTCTTGATTTATTAGTCTCTGTGTTTATTGTATTACTATTATTAGTATTAATGTCTGATTCGATCAATCTTTTATTAATTGTAGTAGAACTTAATTGCACGTTACAGGTAGATTCTTCCAATGAACATGGAACATTAGATTTCTGCTTTGAAGATTTTCTTCTTATTGGAATATCAGGAGCAAACTGTACAACGGATACATCGGGTCTTATCGAAGAACTGAGTTCATGATGTACATGTTTCCTTTCTGGCCTCTTTGGAACTTCTACTGTGTTTGATAGAATTAAATCACTATGTACATTCATTTTGTTAACATGCTTCGGTATTTCAATATTTTGCTCAACGATTTTAACTTTAGCAACTTGATTGTGTTGGACGGGTAGACTTGTTAATTCAGAAAAGCTTTTATATAATGCCTCGTTTCGAGTAACTTCTTGTTTTGTATTTAAAGTATTGTCGCTTCTATGCACGATATCATGTGTATTATTTTCAACATTGTTAAATTCCGGCGTCGGTGTTATCTGTTTTACATCAATTTTAATATTGTCAGCAGAATGAGTTGTGTCTTGCATTTTCTGTTCATGTAGTTTGATTTCCAAGATATTATAATCCAAACATGGAACTGATATTGCTTGTTGCACAATTTGTTTGTTTGTCTCTCCTTCGCGAAATTTGATTTCGGAAGTGCCATTGTCCAGTTGTGAAGCTATTTGTTCTGTATGAAGATTAGTTGTTACTTCTGTTTTTCCTCCATCCAACTCAGGCCTCAATGTGTAACTGTTAGGTTGTAAAATTGTTTGTTCTATATTCGTTTTCTGTATTTCGTAGCAATCGATTGTGTTTTCTAAAGTATCATTGATTAATGATGAGGTTAATATTTTTTGTTCTTCATTGATTGCATTGTTATGAGGATTGATTATTATATCTTCGTGCGACTTATTTAAGGTGTTATTGATTTGTTGTGAAGACAATGATATTTGTTCTGAGTTGGTTATATTCTCAGAAGAATCAATGATGATATTTTGTTTTTCTTCATCTAATTTATTATCGCATGCAGTAGAAGACAATTCACATTCTTCTATCACATTTATATCTTTTGCGTTTAGTTGTTCATTTGTGTCTTCTAAATGCAATTCGGTCAATAGAGCATTCAAATGCAATTGAGATTCAATATCTTCAGTGTCAATTGAAAATATCTCTTCATTTTGTCGCTCTATCTCTTCAAATTCCTTAACAACAGCGTCAACATCGATTTCATTTAATTCGTCGATATTTGTGCAGTTCTTGTCATTTTGATTTTCATAGTCTGATTTTTCAGAAGATTCCGGATTTATTTTCTGGAAGTATTTCATTATATCTTTCGCTTCAACTTTAGCAGATAACTTTGGTTTAATGTCTAATTCGACGACTTTGATATCAGGCGATTTTTTTTCAATTTGTATATTTTGATTTTTTGCTTTCTGTTTCTTCTCGTCTGTGAAATACTTATCAATTTTTCTTCGAGCATTTTCAGTGGTTAATGGTCGAAGTTCACCCATTGACATTTTGTTCTTTGCTTTCCTCTGTCTTAAATCACGCTTTAATTTGTCGAATGAACTATTTCCATCAAATTGAACTGCCTGATTGCTTGCTCCTTTGGGTATTGTTAACTTAGCTCTTTCAATGGATGTCTCTTCCAATGATTTTTCACTTGTAGGAGATGGTGAAGTGATAGTCACTATTGGAATTTTAGAATCATTTATAAATAATTTTAATTTATTATCTTCCGGAATATCGCCTGTCAATCTTTTATAGGTCTGTGTAGGACTATCTGAATCACAAGATTCTGCAGTAACTTTGTCTTGAGTATCGAACAATAATAATTCATCATACAATGTTTCAGTTGATTTGTACATTTCACACGAGGAAGACGGCGATGAATCTCTACTAGAATTTGGTGAAGAAGTTATCAGATCCGGCAGTCTTTCCTTGAGGCTTACAACTTCTTCGATGTTAGGCTGGACTGTATTATTGTAACTAGTCTGACTAAATGGAATAGCATCTGGAAACATAATTCCTGCAAACACTGTTTGCAGATTTGTGTTTGATGTACTAGTTATTTTTGGAGTATCTGGTGTTTCGGGTGTAACATCCGGGCCAGGCATTACTTCATTATTTATCTCATTGTAATCAGAAAGCACTGTTTGAGTTAATTCACTATTTTCTACATTTTTTACTTTATCTAAACTTTCATAAACAGAAATTACTTTATCATTTACATCATTATTACTAATATTGACAAACTTAAAACTGACTTGATCATTTTCACTTTTATCTTGAATTTGTTGGTTTCTATCTAAATCCAAAAGACAACTGTCATCTATTAAACTTTCATATTCTGAAATACATTCATCCACGCTGTTATGTCTGTTGGAATTATTCTGTTCAATCGGATTAGAAACAATTAAAGACGAATCTGAATTTACGGTATTACTTTCCCTATCTACGATTGAATTACAAGAGGAATCAAGTAAAGAAATTAAGTTTCCAGATGCTATGTTTTGAGATGTGTTATCTTCACTATCAAACTTTGTATCGTTTGTTACTTGATGATTTGTATTTCCTACAAACGTACCAATCGTCACTGTCTCTTTATCAGACGATTTTTGAGTATCTTCTGTACTGACAACCTCTTGATCAACTTCACTGTTATTCACGTTTATTTCTTGGGGCGATATTAAATTAGGAGTTTGTGCAGGATGTGTAAGAGATTCTTGAGTTATATTATCTATAGAATCTTGAGAAATTTTCACCTCCGTTTCCGAACCAGTGTCTGTATCGGAGCTACGGGTTGGATTCTTCAGCCAAACTTCCTGTTTTCTAAGTTCTCGAGCGCGTATGTCGTCTTCATCCTCCGTAGCTGTCGTACTTTCATCGTCTATATAAAAATGCAAGCAGAAAAATAATTTCTTACAGCAACAAACTTATAGCAATAAAAATGACGAATTACAGGTATACCTTCATTCGTATATTCATCGCTAGAATCTTCATATTCATTGCTCCCAGTGTCAGATTGTCCCATTGCAGCGTGTGGATGAGAATATCGCAGAGTCCAATTCTTTGCAAGTTCAAGAGTTCCTTCTGTTGTTAGGGGTTGATCTATCGCTTCTTCGTATACTTCGTTATCGTCATCCGAATCGCTGGTGAAATATTAATAAATATTATTGCATTGTTTTTAATTACATGTATCAAAAAAAAAAAAAGTAAAAGTAACTTGCCTCATGTCAGAAATGTCATCACTGGAACCCATTTCTGCTGTGGAAGCACCGAAATTTCTATCCGTCCATTCGTCTTCGTCCATCTGACTTTGGGGTTCTTCAGCGTCTGATATTCCTGCTAAGTTTTCGAATTCTATTCTCTCAGGTGTTTGGCCGCGATCAAGCAAGTCAAGACCAACGACGCCTTCCAAAGATATCTTTGCCTGAAAATGATAAATGTTATTTACATTTTTAATTAAAAAAAAAAAAAAAATCGTACAATTTGAAGTCCAAATACATACTTTTTCTGGTGTTTTTAGATGTACAGGCGTGGTAGGTATATTTTCCTTATTCAACGTTGTGAGTCTTTTCTTTTCGGCACGAGCTTTCAACGTTCCTGAGAAACCAAAATGCTGTGTACAGTAGAACCGTCCTCCATTTTTGTCCCGGTCAAACGTATGGTTTCCTATTATCCAAAAAAGTGATTAATAAAAATTCTACCTCTACTGGTTTCCAAGACAGATGAAGAATAAGAAGCAAACCTATTCTCAATGAGGTAGAGCAATATTCGCAACGGAAGCAGCCTCGATGGAAGAACTTCCCTTCTGCAGTAAGTCTCTCCATTAAATAAACTCTCTTATTGCAAAAGTGACACATTTCCGAGCCTCCTTGGGCGGGTAACGTTATTGTGGGCTTGACATTCTGCAAGAGAAGTACGGGAAAGCAAAGTAGTAATTATAGACTCTAAATTCTTTAGTACAAAAGAATCTTAGTCAGCGTTTTTAAATTGAGCGTTTTTAACAATGTGTAATTAGATGATACACGCATCTCAACAAAAACTCCATTAGGATCACAAACATTTTAGTCTGGTTAGATCAGTTAAGTAAGGGAACATGATTTAATGTTACTGCAGACATACATATATAAATATATCATGTAAGAATATGTTCTATATATCCTGTAAGAAACCGTAAATTTACAGAGACATGGGTACACATGATATAATTTGGTTCTCTTGAAAAGAGATCATACAAAAAATACAAAAGTACAAAATGAATGTCAAAAAGACTCCGAATGTTCTGCTGACTATATCCTCCAGTACTGAAATTTTGCAATATCGTATTTACCGATTTGTGCACCTTGGGCTCCGCGTCTTGACTTTTATTTGAAAACTGCTCGGCCATAGCCGAAACTTTATTGTACCCGAGGACATTACCCTCTTTGATCTTCCTGTCAATATTCTTCAGGGTATTGTCAATATCAGCGTACTTACTATCTGTCTCCTTTTGATCCCGTCCCTTCTTCTCCATCTTGATTTGTCGAGCTAAAAACTGAATGAAGCATATACACATCTGAAAAACATTGATTAACGGGTACTGTTTCATCATTCGCATGCCAACCTGTTCTCGACTCCATTTCGGTACTCGTTCCACCTTGTCGTGTCGCACAGAACGACCCATTTTATTCTCCTCGATCTTCTTCTCGATTTCCTTCACGTTCCAATCAGTCTTCTCGATCTTACCTTTATATGCAACATTATAGGAAATAGTTTAGTTCGATATGAAAGAGGGAGATTAATTATACGTATATACAGTGAAATGGTACAACAACGAGGAGAAATAAGGTGGGAACAAACCAATGGCACGTAAAAGATCTCTGGGCTTCTTCTCAGTTGGAGTAGATCCCTTCAACTTGTCCTCAATGCTTTTTATTCTACCAGAGAATTCCTCGTCTATGCTGTTTCTGTGATGACCAGCGTGAATCTTGGGTTCTCTGTCCTAAACAAGTAAACGGCATGAAACAAATTTGAATGCACGACCAAAATAGACAATCACAAATTTATAAGACGTAATAAAAGACGTGGAAAAAGCAAAAATGCACTATAATTTGTAATCACAGTACATGTATAAAAAAATAAATTAAAAAAAAATTATTAATATATATTAATAATTAATAATTTATTTATTAATATAATTAATAATTTATTAATTATGCATGAGAAATAGATCAACGTGTCACAAGTTATTCCTCGTGTAATGTTAGTGTTACAGTCGTTTAAAGATATATATATATATATATAAGCACTCGCAACCGATGTTACAAACATCTCTTCTTTTTGAAGATACGTAGTTAGTAGTGTAATTTAGATCCTTTGCTCTTTTCAGTATTATCAGATGCGTAAATTTCATGCACATCATTTAGAATTATATATTTGCTCTTACACAGTTAGTCTATATATGCTTGTAATTACAATTTTCTATTTTTCCAACGAAATGTTATCGAATAATTAGTATGTAATCGTACGGTTTTCCGTTATTTGCAATACGTTTATGTTAAATATTTATTACTGTCAATTCCATTATTCAAAAGAAATGTATAAAAATAATATATTTAGAATATGTTTAATGGAAAAAAAAATATATATATATATAAAATTATGCACTCCCAAAATCATTCACTTTCCAGCTTACTGGATGTAATATTTTCTGCTCTAGGTATTTCACTCTATCCTTGAAATCCGGCGCAGTTTGACGATACAAGAATATCGAGTAATCTTCGAACGGCTCGTCTTTCTCACGTTTTGCGTTCGCTTGCAGCATCTGCATACTTTTGTAGAATTGCTGCGTCGCCATGTTTCGCAAATATTGTCGTTTTCTCATACGTTCGGCGCGATTTCTCTCTATTTCTGCGAGTCTCTTCTGCCTTTCCTCCTTCACATCCACCGTGAAATGGTACAGTGACATTAATTCAATATATTCACATAGTTACGATGACTAGTTTTTCTTTTTCTTTTTCTTTTCTTTTCTTTATAATCAGCATAAGCTTTTTCGTTTATCAATTATTTACACAATTCGTTACAGCTTATGTTACGTGGTTTTCATCTTCATATTAAATTCATAAACAATCACAACGGACGAATAACGATACAAAAGAAGGTAAGAGAAATCGAGAGTTCTTTAACTCGAGTTGACTACGTTAACTTGCCATAATTTCTTTTCAAAAAGAATACAACAACAGTCAAACAGTCGTTTCTACTTCTTCAGATCTAGATTATTTGATTACTCTCTAACGGGACACTAGCTGAAATTAACTATTAGGAGATCGTTCTACACAAATTCTATCTGTTCTAGACAAATCTTTTAGTAAAATAAGACAAATACAAAAAAGCTGGCGTAGCAAATATATATATATATTATACAGTATATAACAACATAAACATAAATATCATAGAAAAAGTTTACAACATAACCGAGAGTTTTTGCAATGTCCCGCTGAATACTTTGGTCGACTATACGAAGCGATTAGAATGTAACGACTTCCTTCGGCACCATGGTAATGGTAACTCCAATAATTAAGATTAACAATGATACGATTATCCCACGATACATAAGTGCTTCAATCTTCTGCCACCGTGACTATAGGATACAAGCATTGTAAGTTTCGTGTGTATGAATGTTAGCGTTTGATTCGTGAACCCCTTATGGAATATCTTTATGTAATAGAAATTAATGAAACTTAAATGAAATCAAAGAAATCATTCCATAAAGCGTTAAGTATGTGATTCAATCCTTTGCATTGAACGTTTAGTTACAGTTCTCAAGTTACAAGTGCAAAGGATTGATTTTAATATTGAAATGGGTACAGAGAGAGAGAGAGAGACGATCTGCTAACTAGAAAGCTTTCAAAAGAACATTAAAACGATTAAAAATTGAATTGAAAAGAAAAATATTCCGTATTCGCGGCGTTAATAGATGATGTGATCTGATAAAAGAAAGAAGAAGGCTTACCACTGTCGCGCCCATCTTCTCCGTGCTTCGTCTCTTTCGAGAACGTCGGCTAATCGTGTCCCCCTTCTTATCAGCGGGGTTTAAATTTTCGTTATGTCGCGATCGTGAGTGCCTCGTTCTTGTTGCACTGTCTTGCCTGACGACACGGTCAACTGACTGAACTTTTTGGTCAGGTGTTAATTGGCTCAATTGTTTACTATGTGCGGGCCTTTCTTCGTTTTCAGGTTCCTTTATAAAAGACGATCAAATGCAATCGTTATACAATTATACGAAAAAAAAAAGATCAACAGAATCGCTACTGTGACGAGGATAATTAATTATGAAAAAGAAAAAAAAAAGAAAAAAAAAAAAAGAAACGATTTATGATTTATGGTAACTTCTCGTTAACTTTACTATTATCCAAATGACAACACTCGTGATCTTTATCGAAACGACTTGGTGGTTTGAATATTTTCTTCAATGATGATGCAACTATATTCTTTTCAAGTTTATTTCTCATCCAGCTTATCGCAAATCTGTCATCCACTTCTGTAACGTTTGCACTTAACGATATTTGGTTATTATTGTGGTCTAATGATTCGATGACTGTTCGTTGTGAGAATGTTATAGAATTAGGATGTGACAATGATTCTGCAGTCTGATCGTAAGCGATGAATGACGGGCTACGATTCCACTGGGAGGTAGGATCGGGTGTTCGCGGATGAGGATGGATCTTTCTTGTTAAAGAGTGTTCGACCTGTGATATCGGACTTATGATATACTGAATACTATAAAATACGGGGAACCGTGATATAAAGATTAAAGATCTTCCGATTTCGTTTTACATCGTGCGAATCTACTTACTAATTTCGGATGTTTAATATACGGGATTTCACCGCGGAAAACTTCGTATATTTGTGTGAGGTAAGAAAACATGGCGAGTTTATCGGGGACGTCGCATTGAACCATCTCCTCTCCTGTCATTATCTAAAATGACACACAATTAAAATACAGACCTTTGCTTTCCCTTTCATCTGATGTCAATGAAGAATTATATTTGAACATAACTTACAGGAGGTATGCCTAGTTCTTTCTCCAAGACGTCAAAGACCAGCTGATTGTTCGTGATCGCATCGTCTGGGTTCAAACTGTGGAAGTCTATCAGATTTGGCCGATATCTGTGAATTATCGCACAAATAGCCAGGCCACTTTTGAACGAGGCGCCCATGTCTTTTATTTGCACCGAGTCGTATACAGCAACTTGCTTTTGCAGCCAACGGAGCAACGTGTCTGGGTGCACTTGCGAGTCTCCACGCAAATCTGTATATGTTTAACAATGTTAATAACATCCACGAACATTGTACTTTAATATAATTGTCAATTTTACCTCGGCGACGTCGTTTCTTGGGGATATCGATATCAGATTGTACAGGAGGCTGTTTGATGCTGTCAGGATCGTCTGTATCGAGTAGACTTCGCACTTGTATTGGCGTCACAGAGGATACATTCAGATTGGGGTATCTTAAGAAACGAAAGGAAAATAATAAATGACAAATAAAAAATATATTAGGCAGATGATTTAACTTTGTAGTGCGATAATAACACTGTTATACCTGGTATGGGGGTCCAGCGTGTACGCAGCGTAATCTCTGTTCAAATTTTCAGGGGTAGTTTGTCCAAGTAGCCTATAAATGGACTCACGTTCAGCGATTACCTCTAACGGCGATACATTCGCGCCCCAGCTTTTGATCGCCCAACAAGCGTCCATGGAGCTTAGAAATCCCCTCGCACAACCGGATCCCGTTGGCCAGAATGGCTGTAAACATTTTACATTCGATTTTCTAAGAAATGATTAACAATTTTGGTAGTGTTGTACGACAGTGTTGCTAAAATTGCTCCCAAAAATGGCACTTCAGTGAATTATTCAGAAAATTAGAGACGTTAGATGACGTTACCTCGAGCAGGCTGTCACCGACGAGGATCATAAGCAATCTATGACCTCGACGATCTAAAATCCGGCTGGCATTCTCCGCCGCATACATGGACGTGAAATCGAACATAGCTACATCTGGCTGACCATAGTGGTTCACTGCAAATTCCATACCGATCATCTGGTATTCCGTGGAGAACTCAGCAGCTTCACGGGCGTAAAGCATCAATGCCTCGCGATCCACGTTTTCTTTCGCGAGCAACTTTGCTGTGTCTGCGTAGTCCTGAAACATATTAAAATTAATTATATCATCACCATCAGTTGTAATTATTTCGAATCGTTACGTAGCTGCAGAGCAGCCGTTGTGTAGACGTGTAGAATTAATTTTACACCATGACGTACCTGCAGAATTACGCCCTTGTCTATGAGACTATGCTTCTTGGCAGTCATCACGAAATAGTGAGTATCGTCTTTGTAGTACACGATATTCTCTAGATCTATACCGGTCTCCTGGTACAATTCTTTGAAAAACTTTTGGTTAAAGATGAAGGCCACTCCGCTGATCTCCTCCACCCGTGCCTCCGCCTCCGTTCGTTTATTTATAAAATTGGCCGTTATCGCGATTGCCAATTTACCCCGAAATTCTTTGCGCTTGAAGCCCTCCAATGTGTTTCTTTTACCATCGGCGCCTATCAGCACGTCGAACTCGTACTGAGAGACCGGATGATCGGCGGGTGTAGTTTTTGCTCTCCAACCTACCTCTGAAAGAGTTATGAAACATGAGGCAATGAAAAATTTTGTATTAATCAAGCAACATCTTTGTGCCAAGTATACGATTTTTATTACAACAAATTTTGTCTCCCTCTATTCAAACATCAAGCACAAAACAACTTGTCTCTATTAATTTTAACCCTAATAATTTACAGAATTTCTTTTGCTTTCGTACTTTCGTAGCACGAGGACAAAGCTGTAATACTCAATTCACAAAATTGAAAGATCTTCTTTCTCCGACGAGATTTTAAGCAAAATGTAACTCGCTCGTTTCCATCATCAGTATCGATCTTGAATTATCAATTCTCCTGTATTACTTATACATTTTAAAATCTCGTCATTAATTGACGATTATTTAAAAATTAAGAACAGTGGAAGAAATAGGAGCGAAAAACATTTTACGGGTGAATGAACTTTATCACGTATCAAAGGTTCGATCATCGGATCAAAGAGGGTCAAAAGGATTACTCACTGCCCTCTTCCTGGTTCTCCGGTGGCGGTATCAAAGAATCGAAGCTAACACTTTCGTGGAACTCGACACCGAGGATCAAAGCGACTTTCAGCAAGATGCACTGAAGTTGACGGATACTGATATGATCGATAGATCCGGCGCAGAATTTCCCGAAGAATTTCTTCGCCCCTAGGCCGCGAAGGTCTTGAATGACGAACGGCCAAAGGTGAAGGACGTTGTTTCTGGACATTCGATCCCTCTTTTCAACGACGACAACCTTGGCGCCTAACAACTGGGCTTCTATCGCTGAACGAAGCCCACAGGGACCACCACCAATGATTAATACCTAAACAGTCAACATTGCTCATTATCAATAATCTCTCAATTTCAATTTTCCGAAGAGAAAATTTCGAGGGAATATTCAGAGTATTTCTTTTCCTTTTTTAAACGAAGACCAGGGTCTCAAATATTTTTAAATATTATAATTGGCTATGTAAATAAAGACTACGAGTATTTGAATTTAATAATTCGATACATATGTATTTTGTATTCCTACAAAGTTCAAAGTCTCTTAACAGTTAATTAAGTTATTAATTTCATTCTTTCTCTGT